GACCCCCAAAGGGGTTGCGGCCCACAGGTTGAGAACTGCTGCTCTAGAAGGTAAGAAAGGTCACTTTATTTTGTTGTAAATAAAATTAATCTGACTCTAAGCCTCATTCTTTTAAAGCAACAGGAAATTCACTTCGTGATTCTTGAAATTTCTATCATTTCACAGGTGTGTCAGCGTTTTAGAGGAAGATTATGCAAAGCAGAACATTCAGGGAAATCCCTGGTCTTCAGTCATTTAACAAATGTTTAAGTACCTTATGTGCCAGGTGAATAAGTCCCCCGTTCTCATGGAACTATATACAGGACCACACAGAGTGCCTGGCTTTGTTTTTCCCACTTTCTATTTTTTCTTAGATTTGAGAGAAAAATTATGGGAAGATTAAGTTTTGGTTTGGTTAAGGTGTGCCAGAATTAGGGAAACCTCTGGGCTAGATCATGCTTTAACCTAAAGAGTCACTCTGGGCTAGATCATGCTTTAACCTAAAGAGTCAAAAGGGTTTTGTTTCCCATTATATTCTATGAAATGCAGTGCCCAAACAGCCAATCAACCTTCCTCCTTTTTTTTTCCTTTACTCCTCCCCTCCCTTTTTCCTTCATTAAGTACTTACTGAGCATCAGCTGTGTGCCAGGCTTATTCTAGGTACTGGGATATAGCAGGGAACAAAATAGTTTATATTAGAGTGTAAATTTAAATGGGCACAAACAAACAAATATGTAATACATCAGGTGGTAATAGGTGCTATGGAGATAAAGCTGGAGAAAAAAGGATAGAGAGTAGCAGAGTAGGGGGTGACTTGGGCTGTCATGTATAGTGTGTAGGGGAAAGTATCTCTGATGAAGTAACATTTGAGTGAAAACCCAGAAGAAGTAAGGAGGGAGTTGTGGGGATTTTGGGAGCAGCAGTAATCACGACAGGAAATAGCAGATGGCAAAGCCCAGAGATGAAAAGGCATGCTTGAGGTGTTTGAAAAACAGCAAGGAGCCAATAGCAGAATGGGCAAAAGGGAGAGTGAGTTATTAAATGGCCCTTATTACAAATCACTCACAGTGTTTATTCATGGATGGTACACAATAAGGGATATTAAACAGGCTTATAAACTTTTTAATATTTTGGGAAGTATCAGGGCATAAATTTCCAGTTAAATATAAATTATTAAACACATTTATGTTAGTATTCTCTCAAATTGTACTAAAGTGACAGTAAATAATTTTTTAAAAGTAACAGACTCAAAAGGACAAAGAAAATCAGAGCGATGATAATAGCTATAAAATTTTGGAAGCTGGAAAACTTACAAATGAGTAATATATAACTAAGCAAACCTGAGAAAGCCGAGATTTAAGTTGGCCATAGAATAACTGGAACCATGTGGATTTGCACTGCAGAACCCAGAAAGATTTTAGGAATTCTCTAATTACTAGTGGGACTGAAAAGAGGAGAATTACCTAGAAGGCTGTCCCCTTCACCACAGCACAAACCTTAGCAATTGTCGTTGCCTCTCATTCATCACTGTAGGAGATTACAGGTACAGGCACAGCTGAAGGCAGGGGCACTGAACTAGGAGCCAGGAGATTTCCTTGAAGAATACATAATACATTTTCTTTGGCGGGATCTCAGCCCACTTCCCCCTGCAGCTCCTGGATTGTTGGCAGCCAGGCTTATACCCCGCTCCACCCTATTCTTCACAGGAGATTCTGCCCTATTCTTCCACAGGGAAATTAGCCCAAGAGAAAAGACAATTATCTTCTAAATTTCTCCATTGATACGGACTATTGATATCATTCTCCACTAAACCCCTTCTATTGGAAAGCCTTTCCTATGCACACAGAGCTTCCAGTCAGGTTTTTAGGGCCTCACATATGAACAGCCAGCCACAGATTATCAAACACTTGAGGAGAACTTTTAATAGGAAAGGCAGAGACCAATGCAAACTAGATAAACTAATAGGAAAGACATTAAAAAAATTAAAAGTTATTACTAGCCCCAGTATATTAGACAGCCCTTGTGTAACACTGCAGAATCCTCTGGGTCGCAGCACTTATTCCAGCCACTGCTGCAGTAACCAGCTCTTCATAATCTATGACCAGCTTCACCCAACTACAAACAACTGGACCATGCATGTTTTTGGCCCTAGCTATAACCTCCTGCTCCCTGCCCTGGACTTCTCTGCCACCCCAGTTGGA